GGGAGATCTCGGTGGCTCACCAAGAGGGTCAGCAGCAGCTGCCTGCAGAGGGCTCCGCGCGGGGAGCTCTGGGGCCCGGTGGCGGCCATCGGGGCACGGGGTAGGGGAAAGGGAAAGCGGGCGCCGGACAGGGGTGCCGGGAGCGAGCGATCGCTGAGGTGCTGGGCGCGGGAGGTACTGTCCCGCAGCTGCTCGTCTGGACGTCGCGTTGGCCTCTCTCAGGCTTGCCTGCCCGGGAGCGTCTTAGTTCCTGAAACCGGATTGGGTCCAGGAGACGCCGAGAGGCCCCTCCTTGTTATTTCTCAAGTTTTATCACTGCCAGCGCCGCCGGGAGCTGCCCGAACCTGCCCCTCGGTTCCCCAGCTGCCGTCGGGGCGTTCGCGCCCGGGAAAGCGGTCCCGGGCCCACCCTCTGCCGGCTCGCCCACGCCCCTTGTCTGCCCTGGGGCGCTGAAGCCCCGCCCCACCCGCCGCGCAGCCCTGGCCGCCCAGATGGTCCCTGCGCGTCCGTCTCCTGCGCGGCGCGGGCATCCCACTGCAGAGCCCCGGTCCGCCTGCAGGGATCCCTGCCCGAACACGGACCCTGCTGGGTGCCAGGAACACCCTTGTCGTTGGATCAGCGGATCCGCCCTTCACTTCTGAACAAACTCTGGGCAATGTCTTCGTGTTAGAACAAAAATGTATGGACTGCTGTATTCTCTCCCAATTTTAATAAAGATATAGGTGGCCAGGCGCGGTGGCTCAAGTCTGTAATCCCGGCACTTTGAGAGGCCCAGGTGAGGGGATTGCCTGGGCCCACGGGTTCCAGAACAGCCTGGGCAACTTGGTGAGGCCTCATCTCTACAGTAACTCTAAAAATTAGCCGGGTGTGGTAGTGTGTGCCTGTAGTTCCAGCTACTTGGAAGGCTGAGGCGGAAGGATCGCGGCGCCCAGCAGGTGGACGCTGGGGTGGCCGTGAGCGTGTCACTGCACTCCAGTCTGGACGATGGAGTGAGACTCCAACTCAAAAAGAAAGAAAGAAAGAAAGAAAGAAAAGACATAGTTTATAACACCAGGGGTAAGTTTCCTTATTTCTTTTTAAATTGAATATTATGTTCTCTAAGTTCTCACCAATTGGATTTGGGAGGAAATCCTTCTCAGGTATGTGTTGCCAGGCCTCAAAATCAATTCAAAAATTCCAAAGCTTAGACAGTCCAAATTCATTAGAAGAGCCTTGTACAAAAATGAATTATGGCCTTCATTCATTCCATTCTGGTCACCTCTAATAGATTCCTTGTCTAAGACATGTGTTCCCTAAAGTTTGAGGTTTCCCTAAACTCCTGAGTCTTGCCTCTCGGGACTCAAACACTGCAAAGTCAAGCTTCCTAGTGCAAATTTCTGAGGTACCATAGGCCCCTGTAAGTGGAGAACTCTATATGGAAGAGTCCTTCCAGTCTCAGAGAAAGTTCTCCAAACTTCATGCCAACATTTCAAAGCTCCCATCCTCCAAACCTTTGCCTCCACCATGGAAAGCTTCTCAAAGTCTCTTCCAGTCTCAGCCAGCCTTAGAAACACAAGTAGAGTAAGCTTTCCTGAAACTTGGATGAAAACAGGAGATGCTAACACCAATCTCTCTCTCTCCTCCACTTTAAATTCACTCACTGTTAGAGTGAAGGATTGAAGAATTACAGTGAAGTTGAGGTGTGAAGAAATTTTAGAGGGGAAATCGCACTCAGCTGAAGAAAGTTTCAAAGAAGCAGAGATAGTTGAAATAAGAACAACAGAAAAAAAGAAGAGTAGGGGAATATTCCAAAGAAATGCAACAGCCAACAGGACGTGAGAAGCCCTGGAAAGACTTGTGAGAGCTTCCCACATCAAGAAAGCAGAAAGGGGCTGGCTCAGAGTGGCTGCTGGATGGAAGAACACTTGTGGGTGGGAATCAGATTAGAAAGATGGCTCTGGACAAACCATGCCATTGAATTTGATCATGGAAGAAATGGAGAACCATCCATTCAATCCATTCAGTGTGTAAAAGGCCTACTAACTACTGTTACAGAGTTGTCACTTGGGATGAGTTTCTACATTATCTTTTTATTTTTTGTTTGTTTGTTTTTGAGTTGGAGTCTCACTCGGTTGCCCAGACTGGAGTGCAGTGGCCGCTCCCGGCCACCGCAGCCTCGCCTGCTGGGCTCCGGCGATCCTTCCGCCTCAGCCTTCCGAGTAGCCGGAATTACAGGCATGTGCTACCACGCCTGGCTGATTTGAGTTTCTACATTATTAATGAATCAGTTTATGCCCTTATATTGCTTTCCCTTAATGCACAGGAACTAAGTCTTTGATGTGTTGTTTAAATTGTAAGTATTCCAAGTTTTCCTATGCTTTCCTATTTATCTTCAGATTAACTAGAGTCTGACCTGATTATGACTACCTTCCAAGTTAATAAAACTATAAAATGGCTGTCCTTTGGTTGTTTGGCTGTGCTGTGTAATAGAGGTTATTGGTAAACCTACTGACTATATGTCAATTGTTCTGAGCTTCTATTTTTAGTCTCTACAAAATAGAAGTTGTAAAAATCTATTTCAGAAATACTGTAAGAAAGCATATTGGGGATAATTTTGATTTGTATTGCAAAATTCTAGGTGCGACATCAACACTAATGATAACTGAATGTAGTATTAATAACTACTTTGGAATTTCATGTTGTGTTATAGCATGTGCTTGTCCATCATGAGTATACTGGTAAGTCCTAATAAAGAACAATGCATTTTTATAATTTAAAAATGAATCTTTACAGGTACTTATAATTACAACATAAATAGGACTTGGAGATAAAATTATTTATTTCTTATATTAATTATAATTTAAAATAACTTTGTCCAAGATGTATTTGAGATATGAGCTTCAGTTTGGATATAGTTAGAAATGCATGCTTCCTATAATATAATTAATTTTAAACCATCACGAGACATCATCTGAAATGCCTTTATTTTAATATCCTATCCCTCAAACTGCAACATCAATTAAGAAATTTGTGCAGGGTTAAAAGGATAATAAACCAAAAGGGGAAAGCAATTTGTTATTTTCCCTTTTTGAAAAAGAACAACAATAGCAAAAGATCAAAAATAGAAAGTGATTTTAAAGGAAGAAAACAAAACTTCAGGAATTTAGATGAATTGTAACTTTTCAACAGAAAGCAAGCTTAAGATAAGTAAGAAGAGTTCTCTGTTTGTACACAGGAGGAATGTCTGGCCATGGAAAGGCTAACTAACCTTAGGAGGTGAGAGCTGACCCCTAGCCCGCAAGCCGGGCTCCCTTGCACAACTCACCGCCTATGGGTGCTGGCCCAGCACACCCACTTACCTCGGTGGCGTACACGGACAGTGATGTGACACATATGGGTTTCCTCAAACACTCCTACAAAACCCTGTCAGGACAACCATATGATGTTTCAAACAAACGAGAAATTTATGAAAAGAAGCTTACATTAAAACCAAGTAAAAGATTGGTTTCAATAGTCCTTCTCGTGGCACAAAAATGAATTCTGCCATGGGATGGTGAAGCACTTTTGAAATATTATTAAGGATAAATTGTCACCGTGTGATTAGAAGCCCTGCTCAAATTTCTCAGGGCACCACTGACAGCCATGACCTTTTTGGTCATTTCAAAAAACTGCTGGAGCCTTAGGCATAATAGAAAGTTTAAGTCAAGAGTAATCTATAAATACTGCTTTGCTACCCAGTACAAGAGTCATCTCAAAACCCTGTCTGTCTTTTCATGGCAAACACTGGCTCCTTGGAGCTACTTCCACTCCTATGGAAATGCTACTCCAATCTACAACGAGAACCTCAAGTCTAGATCAGAATGATCCCTGGCTTTTAAGTGAAGATAAATTTCCCTTTCTCCCTATTTTGTGGTGGGTCTCCTCGCATTCCCCGTCTTCATCCTGGGATTCATTTCTCCCAGAATGATTCACAGCAGTACTATCCATTCCCCTGAGGAGAAAATGCACTTCCATCCACAGAGATGTGGCCTTTCACTATAACCCGGACAACAATCATTCAAAAGTCTGACATTTGTAACGTTTCTCAAATGCAGAATTATCCGAAGTAACGCTGTGACAATAGTCCAATCCAGATAGGACTCAGAAGGGTTCCCTTTCAATCTCTTCTTATTAATTGATGAGTCAAGAACTGTTACGATGGGGTTACTCTTCCTCCACTAAAATCTTCAGACTCCCTTACAAATATCCTCTTCGGCAAACAGTCCTTTTAAGGAGGAGAGAGGAGCAGTCTTCCAGTGACTGCTCAGTGGGCAGGAAGGAATGGTGATTTCCACATAGAAAACAAAACCTCATTGTGTGAGTGATAACTTCTCATAGCAACTGAATACAACCTATATAACAAAACCCTGATACAGGGAGTATTTTTGTCTCCCTTGTCTCAGAATTCTCACATAATTCTCTACTTGGGTTTCCTTCAGAGCAAAAAAAAAAATCTCTTCCCTCTAGGTGAGGCCGTAATCTCTCCTGCATGTTCACATGTCCCCAGGAGCTCGTTGTGTGCCACTGTCTGTTCAAAGGGCGTTGCTCAAGCATTCAGGTTACAGGTGTGAGTGGGCTGACTTCCAGATCTCATGTGTCATTTATCCCAGAGTCATTCCCTGATTCACTGCCCCATCAGCCTTCTCTTTTCCCAGAAGTTCAGGATAGCCATCCCTCAACATCAGCTGGGGAAGTGACATATTCCCAACTCAAATGCCTATTCATTAGTTCAGTAGGGAAACAGCTTTTCACCAGCCCCCTTTTGGGCAGTAAAGTATTTAATACCACATTTATTCATTAACAATTATGTGTTAATTAAATTTTCATCCCAAGGTTATTCATCTTGATTTGACTTTTCTTTTAAGCCCAGTGTCCCAAGCCCTTCTGTCACTAGACGAGGAGTAGCTTTCTACCAGTTAACTCTTTAGTGTCCACTAAACAAACTCAATGCCACAGCATAATGGATTCTTTTCTTAAATGGCTTTCAAGCATCACACCTGTCTGCCTTTAAGTGTTATAATGAGCTATACCCTTCCTAGCTGATAAGCACTAGTCTTAACTTGCACTTTGAGTTATGCCAACTACTTTGAGTTATGCCAGATTCCCATTTCTTTAAACAACCCTGATATAGAGGCCCTGCCTGAACATTTAAAAAACCGATAAGAAATATTC